GACTAATTGGGCAATAACGTAATGGGTTTGGCTTGCCTGATTTCAGGATGGGGATAATGTGGGCATATTACCATTTGTAAGGGAAGTATCACGACGATGAGATGCATTAAATCTTGATGTTATATGTAAAATGGCTGTGTATGGAAGGCGTGTAAGTACGTATGTTGGAATTAGGTCGTGGTCGCTGGAAACTTTTGGGGTAGCGACAGATACACGATTGTCAATTTCGGTGGGAAAAATTCATTTTGGATATCTTGGGACTGTTATAGTTCGGCGGATTTCTTCGAGGAGATAATAATCATGAAGGGGGTTTTCTGAAGGATGGGGAGTGAAGGTTGCGGCAAAGTATTTACCTAGTACTTTGCTTTTATCTGCAGGAGTAGTTTCTACGTACGCCGCGAGGAGTATTGTTGGTTTTCACAAGAGACGGCGAGTGATATTCCATATCGTGTGATCGCTTAGGTCGGGGGGTTTGAATTTGAAAGTGAAGGTATTGGGTGTTAGATATTGCCAAAAAAGTCGTACTATTTTAGTGAGTAGGTTTAGGTAGGATTTTAAGAAGAAACGATATTTTTGACAGTGATTATATATATATATATATATATATATATATATATATATATATATATATATATATATATTGTGATATAACAGTTTCTGCAAGGTTGGTGGAAAAGGAGGTAGTGGGTTGCGTTGACTTACTGGCGTAGCTGTTAGGTCTAAATTATTAAAATGTTGTGGGTGAGGGAGTCAATGGCTCTGTCAATTTCTTGAGAGTTTTTCAGTGATGGAGTGGTGGCAGGATGCGAGAAATCAGCATCTGGAAATGAGGCCAGTTGACTTTTTATGGATAATAAAATTTTAGAGATTGGAAAATTGTATTGGTAAGAACAGGAATTATTTGATTTTTTTAAAAAATCGAAAGGAATATTTCAACTGGTTGAGAAACAATTTGTGAGATTATTTGAGAGAGAATTAATATGAGATGTTAAAGGTTTTAGGAAATCTCGGTACAAGGACGGTTGATATGGCGATCGGTCGGTCGGTTTGAGTATTATACAGCGATTTGGAGGCCTTTCTCTGAGGTGTTAAAGTGGTGGGTAAGGGAGGACATACTGTGAAAGTTTTTGAGGGAGTGAAAGATTGTGAGAGCATGGCTGTTGGTGACATGTATGGAGGTTAGTTGAGCTGTTGAGTGGGAAGAATTTTTCTGGATAGAATATTCAGGTATACCTGACATTCGACCTGACATGACGACTGGAGGCCCGATGTGGCTTTTCACAGTTTACACATTTCGTTTCTTCATTGGCGCGCTCGACAGTAGCGTGTTGACCCGCACATTTTCCGCAGTGTGGTAGAAACTACAGTACTTTTTTGAATGTGCGTAAGTCTGACATTGCCGACATTGAACTGGACGATCTCCCATTCTAGCTTTAAGGTATTCTATTTTTACTTTCTCGTTTTCCTAAAATGCACGTTTTGGGGGCACCCTGATACAGAAAAGGGGATTTTTTCACAACGTCCGTCGGTCTGTTTATCTGTGAACACCACCAGCGCCTAAACTATACGTAGGATTTTTTCCAAAACTAATGGAATGGTCAATGGCACTCCGCCCCACGAGACAACAGCTGTAGTTCCGTGAATTCGATCTCATTGTTGGGACGTGGTTTAGCTATACGAAACTCAGTAGTTATTGTCGCCGTCGTAGATGGCTGCCGTGGCTAGAGCGTGTGACGACTCAGCGCCTCGGACTGAAGGGGAAGGCCTTGTGAGTCTGTTGACAACAGAGCGAGCCCGCACCTAATGTTCTACAATTTGTAATGAATTTACACACACACACACACACACATACACACACAACAAAAAAATAACAGATGCCTGAGATGTAATTCTAAGAGAAATTATTACTAAGAGCGAGGAGGAGTATGTGATGTTTTAGCACCAGTAGCTTTTTACTTGTTGCGCTTTTGTTGACGCAACACATCCCTGAACCCGTTGTTTGGACGTTGAGCGCCTTCATTGGAGTAATCCTCAGTTATTTTCATCGTCGAGTATCGTCACGTCGCAGTCGGACTTTTATCGCTTCGGTCAGGGGCTCGATTCGTTCACTCTTAGAATCGTCTAAGAGTTTCTTGATATCTGGGCGTGTGAAGGTATCTTCTTTGAATTTGGCATTACTGATGCCAGGAAATCAATGACACACGTACTGGAAGCATTCACCTTCACTGTTTAGAGCTTAAACGAATTGGTTTATAAGCCGAAGTTAGATATGAAATGGAGGTAATAGTATGACGGACTTGCAACAAGAGCTTTATGTTTTTCGAGGCTACAATCCACTGTCTATGTGACCATTCTTTTTTAGTTCAATGGTGTAACCTTCCTCGATTGCCCCCCACACAGAAAGAATAGCTACTTTGCGTAACATGCGTGTAAAACCTGAGTACCTATGACTAAAATAACCAGAGACTTTCCACTTGTGTTCCTGGTACTTCAGTTTACACAACATTATCTCAGGATTCGGATTTCTATAAGTACGTTTCTTGCATAATAACGGAATGAACAATGGGAATTGATGAAAGTTTGTTTTCATTATGAGGAAGGATGCACTTCAAACTACGCTTGGAGGCATCGATAAAATCTCCGTTTTGTTGGGTCGTACAGAGGTAATCCTAGTTACAGCATAGCCTCCGGGATGTTGCAATAATCAAAGTTCCCTCTTCAGAAAAGAAGTGTGTAAAGTCTTGTTCGCAATATCTGTACCAATAGTACGTCGCTTCTAGTGCCATCATGTTTCTTTCACGAAATGTAGATCCGAGTACCTCGGCAGATTCCTTAGTAAGTCCAAGTTCTCGAAGAAAATCATTTAATGAACTTTAGTTAAAAAGTTGAGGTTCCTTTTCAAACTCATCAATCGAAAAATCCAAAGATTGGCCATTTCAATATCACATTCAGATTCAGAGGTGTGTCAGTCTTGCAAAATTTTCGGACGCTATGGGACTAATACATTAGAACCACGAGGAAAATTGCTGATGGAATATTGTTTGGATACACAATAGTACGTTTGTTTTTGCTTTCAAATTCTTTCACAATCACAGAACAAATAGCAGTCAGTACTGTAGTCTAGAGGTTGTGGCCACACTATTTGGAATTCCGAATAACTTTTCTCTCACCGTTCATTCATTGTCGTAACTATTCTACACATGTTCTAAAAGCCGTGTGTGGTGTCCACGGCTTGCCTTGGTCTCCCAGTTTGATACCAGTAGGCGTGGTAAGCCTTTCTCATGAACTCGGTTATTTTTTGCTTCTGCTTCGGTACGAAACGTCCACACACATAGAATGTATCTACTGCTCTAGCAGCCGCGACGTAGTATGCTGTTCAATTTGTTTTATTCTGTATTAAATACCGCATTTTACTGACTATAGAACACTTATGGAATAAATGCCTCTTTTCACCAGCAGGCGAAACACAACTTGCTGCATTGTGTGCTGCCGGCTTCATGGTGAATTTCCATGAAGGCTTGGCCGGCTCTAGACTGAGATCGACCGCCGACTTTATTTATTTACGTCAAAAAAAGTTAAAAACTGTGTCTGGCGTGCTATAGGGAGAAGTTAATTTGAAGTTACGTTTATGTTCAGAAGCAAAACAAGCGGCCATCTCAACATTTGCTCAAGGATCAGGGAAACTGGACGAAAACCTGATCGTCATTGACCCAGAAGCTTAAGTACAATACTTGTTACATGTTCTTTAGAATTATAACAATGCAAATGGTAAATAATACATTAAATTCATTGTTAAAATTAAGATTACTTTCCTTTTGAATGCTCGATATAGTCTCTAATTGTATAGAAACAATTGCGCAGCAGAATTGATTTTACTTGAGACTTAAACTATTGCATCGAATTTAATCGTTAAATGTCATCTGGCAAGGTGTGGTAAAATAATGTACATGTATTATGTGTGAATTTTTTGTAGTGAGCTGTTGATACTTGCACTTGATGAATATGATTACTACGTCGAGTGCTGTAGTTTTAGACAACGGCGTTTGCTGGGACTATATTCCCGCACATAAGTCATTTTTCACAAAAATATGATATATGAAGAGAAATATCTGATATGAAGAGGCTGAGTAATGGTAAAATACCAAAATTAATAAAGAGAAGCTTTCAAGAATCACGTGGGTGGGATTTGCTTATTATTTGTTTAATTCTTTTTTGTAATCTAAAAGTCTTGGAGCGATAAGATGTATTTCCCCAGAATATTATGCCAAATCTCAGGCGGGAATGAACATTCGAGAAATATATACGTATTGTATAGAGAAATATATAGTATTTGAAAGAATTCTGAAAGCATTGCATTAAGAACTTAATTTATTGTTCAATTCATTTAAATGGACGGACTCGGATTATACAGGATTGACAGATGGCTGTCGGTCATCAAATTAATAATTATAATCTGGAAATGTTAATTAAATCAACTCCTTCTCAAACAATTTAAAAAGTGCTTAGTGTCTGAAAGCGATAAAAAACGTAATAAAAGAGTTTTTTTTTAAATGTGACGTGAAGGAAAAATAACGTCAGATCCTCATTCAGAGTACAAAAGTAATCCTAAAAAAAGCAATACAAGATGGTGGCAATGAAACCATTGCAGACCAGTATTATTTGGTGTGTAAGGAAGGAGGGGGGGGGGCGAACGCGCTTTAAAAGTGAGAGTATTCAAAATACTCCAAATTTGCGACACGTAATTTATGGACGGTCTTTTATTACCTAAATGTTCTCAATATAACATATAGTAAATAATAATAATAATAATAATAATAGTCGTCGTCTTGTGGCGCAGACGGTTGCGGCAGTCGTCTACAGCAGTCTACAGGTTCGAGTCCTACGTAGGATTGTCATATTTGTGATTGTCTTTGCACCCATCATCATCATCACCCTATCACCTCATAATTCAAGACGTAACAACCTTGTCTTATTGCGGGATACCACTGGCGGATCCAGGGGGGCCAAAAGGCCTAGTTTTCATTTACCTACCTTTATTTAGCAAAATTGATTTAAATATTTGTATTCGAATTATTTATTATTTAAACAATAATATAGGATCACATCTATAGTACATAAATAAGACACAATACAATAACAAATGTTTGTTATTCTCAAAAATTTGCAATGGTTCCCCTGCCCAAAATCAGCTGGATCCGCCCTTGCGGGATACAGCCGAAAAGCTGGTCCCCATGACACTCTCCCCAGGATAGGACTGGGCATCAGAAGAGAACATGGTCAATCATGGCCAATCGCAAATAATAATAATAAAAAATGACATTCAAGCATAAGTAAATCTTCAAGACTTCAAATTTGTATAAATCTAATACATAGCGAGTAACAACTTTTGTGCAGTTCTTTTGAGCCTCTGAGCTGAAAGAAAGCTAGTTTTTTATGTCCAGTTGCCCTTAATCGATAGAGAAAATGTTCTTCTTAGTTTCTGCACAAATGTAGCTTTCCTCTCTCAAAAAGCAACTGCTACCAGGTACCAACAACTAATTCATTTTAAAATATTATGTGATGGATGAATATATGTATGTTATCACAGTGAAACGAATCATTTATGAACAGAACAAAATCAAAGTTCTGTCTTGACATTTCATTAAATGTGGATTATTTTATTTCAAGAATAAATGCATTATTCACAGATTGAAACTACAAATTTTAATTTCAAAATTATTTAGTGAAATATTTTCTCAACATTAGGCTGAACCGTATTAAAAACAATGTCAAAGTTTCGTAATATATATATACACAACACAATTTTCAAGATTTATTTTCATGTCATTTACAAGTTAAACAATAAATATTTCTAGTCACTTCTGAAATTGGCAAAAAATCAATAGTTAACTTTCCTAGAGACACAAGGGATTCAAAACTCTTTTTATAAAAAAAAAATGGATATCATGGATATCTCCTCACTTTGGCAAGATGAAATAATGTCACATTGTCACAAAATTTAAATTTTGTTTCAATTTTTAACCAAAGATGCCATGTCATTAAGTTCTTTGAAAAAATGAACAGAAGACATCTTAATACACTACAAGATTGGAGAATTATCAAACACAACCGTTAATTTAGAATTGTATCAAGATATTACAATAAGAATTTGGTACAATGTTTTATCCACTTGGTTACAATTCCTATGCCCTACACTTATCATCCTGCCAACAGGGAATGGGAGGCTGTGGAGTGTTCTGAAAATACATTCTGGAGCCCAGAAAATTGGCTTACTGCATTATTCTTACAATTTTAAGATTTACAACAGTATGAAACTGTTCTTTTGACATTATTATAAGTTTTCATTTGACTTCTTGCACAGTATGATGCCTATTTTTAGTTTTTGCATTTTGGAATTTTCATTTTCCATAATAATTATTTTCCTTATTTTTCTCCGCACCATTTCAATCAAGCTGGAACCTTATGCTTAAACTTGCAGATTGCACATGTGCACAGTGTTGGGGTTTATCTTTCTCTACAATTGGAGGCATAGAAATAGGAATAGAAATATGGAATCCAATCAAGATTTTTGAATTTCTTACATTGATGCCATCAGACTTTCCCTAGGGTCTCAAGGGAACTCATCTAATGCTTGAGTATGGTATTGACACTTTTTTAGGTCAAATCTCAAAGTAGCCTACATAAATACATGGTAAGGCTTGGATCAGTACTAACAAGTACAAAAGTTCAATGAAATAAAATAATAGCAATAGTTTTACTGACACCATTTGTGGATTGAAAAGAAAATAATTTAGTCCACTAACATTTTGTACGTCACAAGAGAATCATTTTGAGGTCATCATGCTGCAAAGTAGTATGCCATTAAAAATAATTTTCAGTCATGGAACTGAAAAATATTTGTTCTGATAAATGAAATGAAAGAGAAGTAAAACAAAATGGTTTGGTGCTTACATGAAAGATTTCCAAGATCAAATTTTCTTCCATGTAAATTGCAGTGTTAGAATAATAGTTTTAATTTTAAAGAATTTATATTTTATTACAAGTTCTTTTTTAAAGCTCTTTTGAAATGAATTTTACATACCTTTCATACCCCCAGTAAAAGCCTTTTGCATCTATATTTTAGTAAAAATTAATATTTTTCTACCTGTTTTTTTTAAGCCAAAATAAATACCTGAACTCCTGGGATCTACTTACTGCAAACTGATCATTTTTGTTTACAGTACTCTCATTTATTAGAACACTAAAGTTCAATAACACTTAATATGACTGATAAAGAATTTCATCTATAATTTCAAAAAACAGACAAAATTACCAACAATATGCTATAAAGCATCACTTTAATAATTCTACAGAAATTTATACAATGGCTTCTTTGACATGCACAGAAAATGTAATCCAGGTTTCCAGATTACTTGGTCACAGGTATGCACAGGTACACAAATACAAATATACATGATTCAATGGTATAATTAGATATGAGAACAAGTGAAAGACACTGATACACATAATAATGGAGTTTCAGGGCCACAGAGGAAGATTCACAAGCTACTTAAGGTAGGAAGAAATGGTACATTCTTGCTAATTCAGCACTTTCCACCAAAAAACCAATTCAAACAGTTGCCAACTTGTTTAAGCTATACCCCTCCGTCTCATTTCCTTCACTAATTCTGAACCCATCTGAGCGGGACTTTTTGTAACAATCACTCCAGCCTGTAAAACAAAATTAGGAAAAATTACAAGTCTTGAACTCAATATCCTGTAAGGGTAAAACCTATTTTAACTCACCTTCTCTAATGCATTTATCTTATCTTGAGCTCCACCTTTGCCTCCAGAGATAATAGCACCAGCATGTCCCATTCTACGACCTGGTGGAGCAGTTAATCCAGCAATAAATGAAACTACTGGTTTTGCTTTATCACCCTAAAAAAATGATCATAAGTAAGGCATTGAACATCTGCAACATATTATTCATTAGATTTAGCATGGTGCATACATACAGAATTATTTTTCAGAAGAAACTCGGCTGCTTGTTCTTCAGCAACTCCTCCTATTTCACCAATAAGCAATATACCTCGTGTCTCAGGATCATTAAGGAACACTTCTAAGCAGTCAATGAAGTCAGTGCCATTGAAAGGATCTCCGCCAATTCCAATGCACAATGTTTGACCAAGTCCCACCTGAATTAATATAGAAATACTCATATTTTCAGTTTATAAGGAAGTGCTGGCCCTCAATGCTGACTAGTTAACCGCAATGAAAAAATAACTGCTGTAGCAGAAACCATTAGGTTCAGTCAATTTCAATACCTATAATTTTAGTTTTATTATACCTGGGTTGTCTGTTGCACTGCTTCATATGTTAATGTTCCAGAGCGTGAAACTACTCCAACAACACCTCTTTGATGGATATGTCCTGGCATAATTCCAATTTTGCACTGGAACACAAAAATTGATCTTAATTAGCAGATTAAAAAACCCTTATTACATTTCATTATCCTCACATTAAAAGTATGGGTTATAAGTTTGTTTCTGCAAAGCAAATCAATATTACAGAACACTTTGGACAAAACAAAATGCTTGCATACCTGCTCAGGAGCAATTATTCCTGGACAATTGGGTCCAATAAGTCGTGATTTATTTTGTCTAACAAGCCGGTGTTTCACTCTCACCATATCATGCTGGGGTATACCTTCAGTAATGCACACAATTAAGGGCATTTCAGCATCAACAGCTTCTAGGATGGCTTTAGCTGCCCCAGGTGGAGGCACATATATTACAGTAGCCTCAGCTCCGGTAGCAGCCTTTGCCTATGAATTGTAAAATGAGTGGTTGAATCCAGATTTACCAAGTATACAAGAAATCACACTTCATTAAAATTTACCTCTTTAACAGAATTGAAAACTGGCAAGTTGAGATGGGTTTTCCCTCCTTTTCCAGGAGAGACACCACCCACAATTTTTGTGCCATATTCAATTGCTTGTTTGCTGTGAAATGTTCCTTGCTTTCCAGTGAATCCTTGGCATATAACTTTTGTATTTGATGTGAGCTTAATGTTGGGGCGGGTAGCAGAGTAATTTGTTCTCACACCAACCAATCGCTGAACTGTAAGATTTGACAGTAAATAGTAAACCAATATTTTTTATACATTTCAAATTATCAGAAATTAAGACAAACATTTGTAATGCAATCAAAAAACAAAATTTTCAGGCGTCAAAACCAAGTGAATGCTAATGAAATTCGAGTAGTAATAAGTGAATGACCGATTTAAAGGTCAATTCAATTGACTGGGTTCGTAATCAAACTATTCAGATTCTGTCTACTGATTATTGGCAATTGCCTAACATTAGTGTAGACTAAGGATAACTGGTCATATCTTGAGACGCATTTGTTCATGTCACTCCATAGGAACATTGTAGTAATAATTTTCTTACCTCCTAACTTGGAAAACATCCTCATTGATGCAGCCATTGTGATTTGCCGTATTTGCACGGGTTGTGCAGCCTGTTACTCTTGCTTCGAAAGGCGATCACCTAATGCCGCCGGCTTCTTGCTCCGTAGCTATTCCAACTATTGCTACAATTTTAACAACGTTCTAAATACCCAATTCCGATTACTTGCACTCTTTGATTCATTAGACCTTAGACCCTTAGACTTTAGTGTCTCTGTTCCCACTCCATTCCTGCTCCTTTCCTTGCCACAAAAAGACACTGACCCGTCAGGCAATCGTTCAATTTACTGAGGAATGTCTGTGGAGGGGAGATACGAAATGGGCTTAACTTCGCCCGGCCTTCATAAAAATTGAGGAATAATTATATTGCAAATCTTATATGATTTCTGATGTGGATTTTGAAAACGTTTGGTTCTCATAATTCTTCAGCATTCTTTAGCCATCATGCAACGTGTTGGAACCAGGTGAAACCCAACCAAAAACCAACGCAGGTCAGAATCATGGAACAAAGGTTTGTGCGACCCTGTGAGACTGTTTATTCGGAGTTTCTTCAGCTGTTCAAGGTTGGATGGAATGTTTAATATGGACGCTCGTGGACATTCATTTGTTTTCTAAATCGTCTGTCATGTTGAGGTGCAAGTCAGATGCAAATAATTGTGTAAATGCGATAATAGTTAAATAATTGAAATAAAGTGGTATTGTGTGTGGTAGTGATGTTAACATAATCCAGTAAAATGGAAGTAAGGTAGCGTAGCTCGCAGTGTTTTTTCGACAATGATCAAGCAATCATGCTGCATGTTCTCTGCCATATGATGCCCCGCTTATAATAACGATGTCTCACCAGTTTTCGAGTGTGGCCCCTGGCGCGACCCTTGTGTGTAGACTTAGCGTCAGGTCAGAAACTGGTATGGATAGTCAGGTGATGATAGATGGTCGGTTATTAGATATAGTTGACGACGCTTGGCGAGACGATACTTTGCCCTGTGAAGACATAAGTGTTCCTCCTGGAGAGCTTCCTGATCCCGAGGCTGATAATGGTGATTCACTAATGACATTGAAGGAGCAAGAGCAAAAGTGGACCGACATAGCCTTAGGTGTTCTACAGCAACGTGAAGTCCTTCAAGGAACCAATAATTAAACATGGAATTTCATGATTTAGGCAAGCAGTGTTCCTTTCCAGAGTGTAAACAGTTGGATTTCTTACCCTTTTCATGCCCACATTGTGGCCTAGTATTCTGCAAGGACCATTATCTCCCAGATCATCATAATTGTATTGCAAGCAGTTTGGCTAGTAATTTGCAGAGTACAGAGCCTACAAATTCATATTTTCAATGCTCTGATAGTAATTGCACTGCTACTAGTGCAATAGCATTGTTGTGTCCTGTGTGTAAACATCATTTCTGTATCTCTCACAGACATCATGGATGTTTAGATAAATCTCCTACTGAAGAAGATATCAAACGCTGGAATACACCGAGAGAACAGTTTCATGCTGCAAAATCTGAAGTGGACCGTCAAGTGTCATTAAATTTACGCAAGAAAGCTAATATAAAAGGCAATGTTACTGCTATGAAAATACAATTAATGCGTTTAAAAGGTCGTGCAAAAGGATCTTCTAATGTGCCTGTTTCTGAGCGATCATATTTTCTAGTGTATCCACCATTACAGTGTTCCATGAGCTCTCAAGCTGTGTTTGTTGGACGACTCTGGACTTTAGGAAGAGTCATTGATGCAATTGCTGACTCTTGTAAGGTTCCTAATAGAAATAATGAAGCAACTGCTCCCAAGTTAAGGTTATTTGATTATGTTAATGGTCAAATGTTAAGTCCTTTAACACAAACTATTCAGAATTTATTTGATGAAGGAAGCATATTTGATGGCTCAAGCTTGGTATTGGAATATGTCCCTGGAGACAATGTAGAAATTGACTCCTTAATTAATGTGGCTTTATACAAAGAATAAACATTTAAGGATTTTATCTAAAATGATTAATATGACTGATAAAGAGGATGTAATAAATTACTAAAATATATTGTTAATGAAATATGAACATTTCTCTGTTGTAATGTGTGTGACTTTTTTTTAGAATTTTTTACATGTGCACATTTTTATTTTGTGAATTCATTTATTTTGTGTAATGATTTCCATACTGCTAGAACCGATCGTCATGTTATATCTACATAGTCTGTTTACATGTTTCACAAGCTAACTTAACCAAAGTACTTATTGCCAGTGTGATAACTTACCACAGGAATGAAGAATATTTTGGTCGGTCTTGAAATAAGATTCCAAATGAAGTACATACTCTTTATTGATGTACTCTAAATTAATTTGTATTTCCCTTAGATGTTTTCCCAACCTATTTGTGAAAGTAAATGGCATGAAATCTGATAGTTAATAAGCAAGCTTAGTGTTGGCATTGTTTCAAATTATTGTAAAGGAAGATCTTTGCTTTTACATTTGTGGATTTGTTTCTTTCACAATTGATCAATTCATATGGGCTGAAAGTATAATTACTACTTATCACATGAGATTTTGCTATTCTAATAAACTTGAAATGTTTTATACTTACGCCAATAAAGAATTTTGTTAAGAAAATAAGTTTTAATTTTTTTCTTCATGATTTTCATGAATTTGTTGCATAATTAAAAAAAATTGAACACCATCGTAAAGAAAAATGTATGTGTGAAAAGAAAATCATCCATCAAAATTTTTGTTTTGGAAGCATTTTACCACAGTAGGCAAGTAAATAAAATGGAAGCTAACTTTATCTTGAGAAGTTTGGTAAGGAACTTTCTATCACTTATTAAGTGATTTAAATCTTTGATATTTGATTGCTGAGAGGTGACTATTGTATATTCTACCTGGAACTTAATGCCTTCAAATGCAACTCTCCAAATATTTTTTTTATGTGTGTGTGAGTGAAAACTAGTCATTCCTGAACAATTTATTATCACAATTCTGTATTAGTCATGTAGGTTATTTATTCAATTTTAATTCCTTCTGGTTTGCTCAATTAAGAATTGTCTGGGTATGATTATTTATTACAAGGAATTTCGTTTGCTCTGCTTGTGTGTTGTCTTCTAGTGTCAATTTGGTGAGTACTGTTGTGAGAATAGGGGAAGAGGGGGCCCATTCTGATTATTTTGCTGGTATTTTTATGATTCGTGAGTTTTGGTCGATGTATCGAAACAGTTTGTCAATGGCTGGGTTGGCCTTGTCTGTTTGGTTTCAATTCTTCTTCCTTTTGAATATCATATTGTCATCAACGCCGTACAGGTTATCTGTTTCAAAAATACAAGCAGTATTTGAGAAGCAATGTAGTCATTGATGACTCAAGCCTAAGGAGGTTATAATATATGTAGATAGCGTTGGCCTCAAGAAGTGAAGTGAGGCCCAGCAAGAACTTGAAGATAAAAATACTGTAGTGTAGCCAATCGCTGATGTGTCCGCCAAGTTTTGTTATCCCAAAACATCTGTAAACATCTTAGTGATAGTTTGCTATAGTTCGGTTTCATAACATGGCGTGTCAGGGCTTCCCTTCGTGACGGACTGCTCAAACTATACTGCAATTTTAGCAACTCTGCCGCTAGCAGGCATTAGCTGTTGACAGTTTCATCCAATCAGAAAATTGACCGTCACTATGGCGACATTAAAGTTCCCGGTTGGATGAAACAGTCAACAGATGATTAATACCAACCAGGGTCAGAGTTGCATTTAACTGCGTGACACATCGCACTGATTAATACGGTCAAAATCATGCGGCATCTATACTTGAATTTTTATTTCTTGGCGCTCATGGTCTTTACAATTGAGTATCTAATGTAATTTCTGGTCTTCCTCAGCCTTGCCGCTAGATGTCGCATGATCCCGACTGTATCGAGCAATGATGGCGATCATGCGACATCTAGCGGCACGACCGCGAAATACCGTGAGACTATGGATTGATACTGTGTTAATCTATGGTGAGACATTACATCGCAAATACAAGGCCTCCAACGCTAAGAACTGAAAACCCCACGACTGACTCCAGTGACATAATGTCGCCATGGAGGAATATAGAATTGGAGGGAAAATTCGCGTGACACCATCTACAATAATGTACAGGAGTACAGGTTAATTGACAACACTGCCAGAATGGGTACTTCTTGAGCGTTTGGAGCAGCTGGGTCAGGTGCACGGTACTCAAGCTACAATGTGCACATCCAATGTGCATTTTACCCTCTGTAATATCACATCTGATTTAAAATAATTTGATAATATTTTTTAATAATTTTAAAATAATTTGTATTGAGAAGAATTGGTTAGCAATTATAAAAAACATTTTTATGTATACTATTCATAAAATATATTCTGAAAACAATTTTACATAATTACAGAGCAATACAAGTCAGGTCCAGAAGAATAATTGGGTTTTGCAGAAACTACATTACTATGAATTGCACACACATTACGTTATTGAAACAATTCTTGAAATTCAAATATCTATATCTATATTAATGCAATTATAAATTATCTCCAACTTTTCAAGTTACATAACAAAACATATATATATATATATATATATATATACTATAATATATATATATATATATATATATATATATATTGGATCAATGAACTTCGTCTTGAAACGATTCTTTATATTACTGTAAAATAATAACACATTACAAATAATATAGTATACATTGATTGTCCCAAAGTGGCAAAATTTTTCATTGGCCTCTTGAATCCGATCTCACGGCATTCCGTTATCCAGACATCTCTATCAATTGAATATGGAATCAAATACACCATTCATCACAATTTACTTGCAGGGAATATGCAATTTATTAGCATATTTGCAATTTATGATAACATGTTGAATAGTTTAGAAAATTATCATTTTAATCAGACTAATCTAAGGGCTAAAAATGCCCCAACAAAAAAAAAAACAAAGTACCTTTTTTTTTTTTTTGGGAATTTGTACGTATTTCATAGCGCTAGACGTTTTCTTAAACATATTATAAGCGCTTGAATAAGATGTGGTTTTTAAAATTTATAATTATTGAATTACATAAGCCCACAAGCTCATTATTTTGATGCGACCATTAAAAATTATTACAAATGTATGAGAATTCCTTCCACAAGAAATTGAGATAGGGGAAGATATTCTAATATTATTTTTAGTCATTCCAGCAACATGCCCTTTTGGACTCAACCGTAACTTTATCCTCTCCAGATCTTACAGTTTTGTTTTGGAAAGGTTCATATCCTATACGAATATAGTTTGTTAGTTTCTTTTAAAAAAAATTGTTGGCGTCTTCATTGACGCATCGGCTCTTTAAGCCTGCGGGGGTGTTGAGCGCTTTACGCTTTTGAGAAATCCTCCATTTATCAGCGGCGGGAGTAATCGCTCTTTAACAACAGTAACGGTAACGTCCAAGTAGGACGCTCAAGAGGGGTGTAAGCTTTTTAGCCAAAAACTGTGGGCTGTAAATTGAACAATTTGGACTTTGGAGAGAAACTTTTACTTTCGATGTTGAGGTTAGGCTTTTTTTTTTAATATTTAAATTTTTTTTAAATTTTTTTTACTATTGCAATGCACTGTAACTAAAGGTTGATGTGAAAAACATTCCAATGTTTTTCATTCGCCTTTGGTGATTTTTCAGACATACTTAAACGAGGAGCAGCTCTGAAGCAGCGAGCTTCGACTGACCATCTCATATGAAGGAACAATGGCAGCCTTACGGCTAAATGGCACCGAAAAATACTTGTGGACCATTTAATAGAGCCCTATCACAGGGAATTTACTTTTTACTGTGTCTGAACCAATGGTCCGATTTTCGATCTGTTGATTGTGCAAAGCAAACTTTGAACAAAGTGATCTTGCAGATAGAGAGTCTCTTACGTTCGGTCGTCGTCGTCGTCGTCGTCTTCTTCTTCTTCTTCTTCTTCTTCTTCTTCTTCTTCTTCTTCTTCTTCTTGCTTCTTCTTCTTTTCTTCTTCTTCTTCTTCTTCTTCTTCTTCTTCTTCTTCTTCTCTTCTTGCCTTCTTCGTTCAACTGTCTTTTCTTCTTCTTCTTCTTCTTCTTCTTCTTTCTTCTTCTTTTCTTCTTCTTCCTTCTTCTTCTTCTTCTTCTTCTTCTTCCTTCTTCTTTCTTCTTCTTCTTCTTCTTCTCTCTTCTTCTTCTCTTCTTCTTCCTTCTTCTTCTTCTTCCTTCTTCTTCTTCTTCTTCTTCTTCTTCTTCTTCTTCTTACTTCTTCTTCTCTTCTTCTTCTTCTTCTCTTCTTCTACTACTACTTACTTACTACTACGTACTACGCACTACTACCACTACTACTACCACTACCACCAACATACTACCGACTACCACCACTACCAACCACTAACCACCACTACCACGATAGACACTACTACTAACTGTACTACTACTGAGCCAACTAGCTCTACTAGCCCTACTACTACTACCACTACTAACCTACTACCGTACTTACTACTTACTCACAAACACTACTACCACTACTACTACCCACTACTACTACCACTATACTACCATACTACTACTACTGATTACTACTACTACTATTACCTACTTGACTACTACTTTACTACTAGCTACTATACTACTAACTACTACTCTACTACTACTACTATACTACTACTGACTGGACTCTACTTACTAACTGACTTTTAAAACCTTACAAGGTGCCCCGGGTCCCAAAGGGAGGGGATTTTTCTCAGGGCCAGAAAACTCATAGCAACAATGGATTTCTTAGGAGCCAGGTTTTCGTATTTAAAAGCGGTTTATCTGCAATTTTAGAAAGTAGCTAAGCTTACTTGCTTATAAAGAAGAGGCATGATTTTAATTGGGGAACAGACAGAGGTTTTTTGGCTTTGCGCGTTTGAAGGAAGCCCCTCACTCTGAGCGTACCCGTCTTTGCAATATCTGACTTTTGAGAAAAGTTTTCAAATAGCTACACGACGCCAGCTTTGGTGGGCAATAGATGCGGGCGACGTGTCAAGGGACCCATACCCCCCCTTTGCTTTTTCAATCGCCATCCCTGAGGTAAAAAGCTGAGGAAAAATTAACAGCGTGATTGAAAAGAGCATTTTTGGCTGCCAATTTAGGTCAAGTAGAAGAACAGCATTTCCGCCCATATCTTTTATGGTAGAAATTTTAAAATATTAACGCGATTCATAAAGCAGGGTTTTAAAAAATGGTTGTATAAATTTTAAAAACTACTGCGAATTATGTCTTACAAGATGGCAGCAAGTACGTTTCTCTGAATGACGACGTTGATTATTATTTACAAAAGGGGAACGCATATTTCGAATGTCCCATGCCTTAGTAGGGCCCCATGTGGCGTTCAAGAATCGTTCGCCGGGTTCTTCAACGGTTCTTCAAAATCCTAGCAGAGGCGACGGAGTTGGTGGGGACAAAGTTATTCTGTAAAAAAGCAGATAATGCCGGAATGCCTTGTTGCAAAGAAATTTCAATGGGATCATCTAGGTCATTGCCAGAATAATTTGCGG